TCTATGATCATTAACGCCTTGTCATGGTTACATCTGAAGCCCAAGCTCGTGCACTATCTACCCTAACTGACCTTTCCTGGCAAACCCATTCCTGCCGAACCTCACCCAACTCTTATTACTTGTACTGGAACTATTTCTATTCCCCCAAATGCTTGTCCATGTATAACAAGGACTGGTCAGACTGTGAAAATTACCTACTTTCCTGCCTTGGTGAACATGATGCATTGGCAGTACAGTGTTACACTCTTCCTCCCAGAGGCTAACATAAATCCCATGTCAATATTACCAAAATGAACTTCCATAGACAAGACCTCCCCCATAAGGTTTATATTGGTGGATTGCCTATCATGTCTGACAATATTGACCCCTTCCTCGTCAATGTCAGAAATGCTGGCGTTTTGGCCACCCAGCCAAACATCGTTGCTCCATAGCCCGCTGCCCTCCATGTGCCAAACCTGGTCATGACCGTTCAAATTGTCCTGTTTAGTCACATACATGTGCCAATTGTGGATAAGGTGTTTTCTAGGAGCTGCCCTGCTTATAAGTTTGAATGTGAGGTAGCAGTTCTCAGATTTAAACTCGGCCTCACTCTACGTAAGGCTAGACAGGAAGCATGACCACGAGGTTTTCTCTCTCATCCTATTTCAAAACAGTCCTACGCTCTGCTCCACCACCATCTACACAAGATGTTTCTGCATCTCCCCAGGTATCTTTCCCCTGTACCCAAAACCTACATCCTATGTCTATTCACCCTATCCACCAGTCAAATCCATTTTCCATCCTAAATCCAGATACTCCAGTCTCTACCACTTCCAAGATACCTACCCCTCCCCTCACTTTAATTGTCATACCAGGCAACCTAAACGTTCCACTCCATGCTCTCTTACAATATTCTCTCCTACACCTTCCTCTTCATCTGTTCCTCAGATATCTATCTCCTCTTCTCCTCCTTATAAGGAACCTTTGTTTCTCAGTCCTCTATACCTAATTCCCCTCCAGAAACCTTTGAAGACATCCAAAACTTCCTAAAGATGATCCAAGGGAACACTCCGCTCCCTCATCCACCCCCCAATCCCTCTGTTCTTACTCCTGCTACATTTAAAGTATTTGCAGATATTCATCCTCCTTCTTCCCAAGTTCCCTCCACCCCCTTTCCTCCTACACTCTCCCAACATACCCCACCCTCTCTACCACTTCCACTTGAATACTCACACTAATCCTCTCTATCATAATAGTGTCCTTCTCCAGACCCCTCCTCTCCAGACATTTTTACGGATGCTTCACCACCTTCCCAGTCTCCCTTTCTCAACCCCTGGATTCTTCTCCTCTTACTTCTCCAACAGCCACCTCTGTTTTCCTTGATCAATGTCCCTACTCCTTCCCCAGTCACTATTATTTTTGTAATAAACATTATAATTACTATGTTGTTACTGACATCACTAACAGCAGTTTGAAATACTAGAAAATATAAAAAATCAAGAAAAAGGGTAGAGGTGAGACAGGTACTTCTTGTAACTTTCTCATTGATGACTTAGTACTTGTGGAGCCATGTATATATAGAACAATTACTAAATTAAACACACAGTGGTCATGGCGTGTATGCACA